GATATTTTGGATGATCAGAAGAAAATATCATTGATTGTAAAACATTTTCTGATCCAAATACAGTATCTCTCATTATTAGTTGTCGTCTACCAGGATTAAGATTTATACGTTGTGCACATAAAGCATTTTCTGCCATTGCATCATGATTAATATTATTGTTAAAAGCAAAAACAGCAATTGTATTTGGATGCATTACTTCAAAAATTGGAATAGCACAATTTTTTACTTGTTCAATTAAATGTTTTGCTGTCCACCAACCCTCTTCATTTTTTCCTGGTTTTAAGAATTTTCGAGCTTCATATGGAATTTCAGGATTCAATTGAGCTTGTTCATTTGTTAATTTAAGACAACCAATAGTTTCTAAAAGAAACTCACTAATCATTATAGATTTTCCTTGTCTTTTTTTACGGAGTGGTTGTTTACCAAGAGGAGCCTATATTATAGGATAATCATTATTAGCATAAAAAAGACTTTCATCATGAGTTACTAAAATATGAAGTTTTTCTTCTTTAAATAAAGTGGGATTCTTTTGATCCATATTATCTCCTTCAAATATTGGCATTAATCATTCAAAACATTCCATCTTTTCAAGAAATTTATTCTGATATTCTACAACATCTGGACGTTTGTGTCTATCAAGATAATTTTCTTTTCATCAGGATTGTGGAATAAGTCCAAGTTTTCGTAACCAGATTCTTACTGTTTTTTCTGAAATTGATTTATGTATTCCTATTTGTGAAAAGAGTGTTTCTTCAATAAAAGTTTTATATAATTTAAACGTAATTTTCTCTTTATTTATATGTATAAATTTTAAGCTTTTTCTAATTACATCTTTATCATCAATAAATGATTTAGTTTTCTGATAACAACCTTGTAAATTAACTGGTAAAGAACCATTTTCAATCCAATATTTTGCCCATTTACGAATTATTCTTGCTTTCCATAGTCTTTCATTATAAATTTTTTTTGCTACATTTAATGCAGCATCTTTATATGTCATACTTTCTTTTTTTAAGTTTATAAAAAACTCATGAATTGAACGATGTCTTAAATAGTCATATGCGAAAAGTTTTTTTATTTTGGTTAAGCACTTTCTCAAGTTTTTGCATTCGTAAAGTAAAGTCATCTTTCTCATCCTCTTTATCCTTATCCTTCTTATCCTCCTTATCCTCATTCTCCTCATCATCATTAATATCAGAATTAGATTCCATTTCTGTATAGTTGGATTTCGTTTCTGTATTTTCTGTCTCATTTTTTTTTACAAAGTATTGAGTAATTAAAGAAGAACCTTTAGCTGCTTTCGTAAATGAACCCGATAGTCCATATTTTCGATAGTATATTGCATTAGACTTTCCAAGATATGATGCCTTTCTTTTTTTATTTTCTTTAGTTTGTCCTGACCAAAAAAATGTTATTTCTCCTAATTGAAGTGTTTTTTTTATATAGAATTCCTCATCCGAACTGTCTGAATATTCTCTCTCTGAACTTTCTGAGTATTTATCATCTAAACTTTCTGAATATTCTTCATTTGAATTATCCAAAAGTTTATTAAAAACTAAAAAAAAAGGCAACATAAGTTAAAAATAAACATAAAAAAAAACCACCTCTTTATAAAAAGCATAAATATCAGAAACAAATTTCCTAGAGTTAGTATTGCGAGTTTGATATTTTACCCGTTCCTTGGCAGCTAGTTGCTTTCGTGTAAGAGACATATTATATTGTATACAGTTGAACCTCTTTATAACGAATCTTCATTTTTGGAGGTCACGATTCATTGTAATGAGAAAATTCAGTAACGTTTTACTGAATTTTAAAAATTTATTCGCTATATAGTGATACCAAATATTATATCCAAATTCGGTATGATAATAAAATAAAAATTTATCATTTACTGTAATCAAAAACTGCAGCTGAAACTGATGATCCGGTTTGAAACCGGTTTACTAAACATCCTTAAATATTTTTATTATATATTCAGAAGTTCAATTTTTATTGGTTATAAATTTGGCGTAACTTTATAATTTTGTAAAAAAAAAAATTAATCTTTTTTACCATAACCATCGAATATATTTTATTCTTTACTAGTATTAGCCTTATCCGCATTTCCCAAACATGAATCTAATGTAA